AATTATATAGAATTTTTTGGAATTATCGGAGTACTAGATTGAATTATGAGAATTACGAAAGTGAAGTAGTTTGCCCCTAGTCAATTCCCAAAGCAAAATGTTGTGTTTTTAATGCAGGACATGATGAATAAGTTATTACTACTTTGCTTTATGACTTTACCTTTTATAATAATGAAATCCTGGCAATACGACCCGTCTGCGTTTGACAAAGCCCTAAGAGCCATAAATTAAAAGAAATTCAAATGGGGTATTATATTGTTTGAACGGAGATTGAATTTTTAAAATTTAAATCAGTTATTTTTTTCAGTAAATGCTCCACTATATAAATTGCATTTAAGTAAATCATTCCTTTGAAATATGTTTTTTAATGATATCAATACCAAAGACTCGAAGCTATTGACTTGGCTTTGTGCCAATCACGGAGGAAAAAAGATCGGAAATTAGTTTGTCTGAAATGGGAAAATCAATCATTTTCCTCTTATGCGTCAATGCTGGCGTGAAACTGAAAACCTTTTTACATCTACTGTAGAGTACTGTCACATGTGCAGTTCATATTTTTTTGTTTGCTCAAGCTCTCCAAAAACGGATGGTTCAATAAAATCATTCTTCGATTAGTGTATTCAATACTAAGTTCATTTGATTTAGGGCCAAATGTGTTGACCAGCTTTTGCACATACTATATTACTCGGTCATTGTAAATCGATGGCTTGGGGAAAGTCATACAATTGCTCCGATGAAAAATTAGAGAAGGAGAGAAAGAGAGAGCAGGCATTCGGTATTATATTTGAATCGAAGCTTCGATTTAGTCATATGAGTTTACATATATAGAGATGGAGAATATCTAACTCGAATACAGCCTAAGGCTAAATATGGTTTCTGTGCTGTTCGATTTATGTGTCAAATACTGGATTAAAATAGTCCAGCAATTGATATAGGCTTTGATATTTAAAGCTAACATTATGTTCGCTTACACAATATTGAGTAAATTGCTTGAAGTCAAAAAAATGTACACCATCGACAAATCGACCCATGTTTAAAAATCGTCCGTTTTAATTGGTTTGTGGCTGGCAAAATATGATGATCATAGTATTAGACATTTTTGTTTTCAAAAAAGGTAATGAACCAATTGGTTATTAGATTAATCTAATGGATTAGTAATCCGATTGTGAATTGAGCTCTTTTGTTTTGTGAGAAGTGAGCTCGCAAGAAATCTGATCTGAAAACTCTTCATTGAATATTCCAAACTAAATGTAAATAGAAGAGAGAACGAAACGAAAATCTTCGGACTTGCAGTGCACCGGACTTTGTTTCTAATTTTTCATATTACTAATCAGCGTTTACGAACACAGGAAAATACTATACTCGATCGTAACTTTTTTGATTTTAAACTGATGAATAGTTGTTTGAACTTACACTAATCCAGTGTTCCCCTTTTATATAAGTGGTTGAATGTAAATAAATTATTATTGAATATTAAGAAGACTAAATGGATGATAATAACGAGGAACAAAAATCGAATAAATAGTAATCAAAAAATTGAAATTAATGGAATTGAAATCGAAAGAGTTGAATGTATTAAGTATCTTGGAATACAAATTGATGATGAATTGAATATGGACAGTCAGGTTAATCAATTAGTAAAAAAAGCATCACAAAAAGTGAATTTACTCATAATAAATAATTTAACGCCGAAATACTTGCATAAAAATATCATATTTAACACAAATATACACAATGTTAATACGAGAAATAAAAATAATTTTAGATTACCAATAGTTAGATCAGAAAGAGTAAAGAAAAATATTTATTACAATGGATTAAAATTATATAATGAATTACCATTGGATATAAAAGAGTCAGTAAATCTGAATGAATTCAAAAGAAAATGTATGATACACATTAAAAATAATTTTCCTATTTTGTAATTTAGCATTAAGAACCATAAAAAAGAGCTAACGCTTCTAATAAAATACAAATACAAATACTCAGTTGTTGATCAAAAACATCTATGCCCTATTCTAAAAGACATTCGTTCACGCTTCACTGCAGTTGCAATATTTCCTTGCGTTGATCTACGTTATTTTCTATCTCGACACGATTATTTGGCACTTTCATATATACACCCATCACTTGATTGGCAAAAACGGCGTACACTTTTTCTAAACCTCGTGAGAAGTATTTTTCATTGGGATATTCAAAATAGCATCAAAATCGAAATTTTTTGCGCCCATCATGTACAATTCGGAAGAAAATGTTGTACAGGAAATTACACATCTTGTACAGTTGATTAAGGGTATTGATCATGAAAAAATACGAGTTCGCGAAATTTTGCTGTCTTAAGACTTAAGTGATTATTCTATATGCAAAAATGTTTCGACTTTGCCCCATCATTTTTCGATTTTCTATTTTTGACGTAGTTCTCTCCAAAAGGAGAGAATTATCGACGACACTGGTGGATATTTTCATTACACAAAAAAGCTTTATCATGGTTAAACAGACTAGAAAACAAAACCAGTTGAACTGGTCCAGTTCACAAGCCACCCAAATCATTACATTGCATAATTCGATCGTAGTTGTGATACTTTTTTGTAGACTCGCCCGATAAATGTTGCACTACCAATACATGTTTGTGATAAGTTCCGTGCAACAATGTGAAATGTTTCATTGTTTTACAATTATGGTTTTCTTTAGTCAAAAGTTGTTGTATCAAAATCCGATTAACTGGATT